AGGAGGAATGCTCTCTTGAGGACAAATGCAGAGTGGCAGGGTACCTTCGGTCCTTCATTGAAAATGGTAAGTCTGCTGCAATAGGTATTTTGCTATTGGGTTTTCTCTGATGTTTATACTTTGGTAAATTACATACTGTCCAGTGATCTGGGGCCATTAACAAAGTACATGTTAGTATAATTTTGTTTCATTATTTGCTCCATACTGCCTCGTGAACAGTGAAGTGAAAGTGATTATTTGTTACACACTGTGAAGTGAGCAGTGAAATTACACCTCTGCATTTAACCCATCACCTCAAACCAGTGAACTAGCACCGGGAGCTGGAGCAGTGGGCAGCACACGGTAGGTGTGCCTGGGGGGCAATCTTGGTTTTAGGTGCCTTGCCCAAGGGCACTTCAGCCAGCCCCATCTGATCTGGGATTTCAATTGACAACCCTTCTGTGACAAGCCTGCTTTCCTAACCATTAGACCACGGCTGCCCTAATTACATGTGTTATTCATGCAATATGGCTGATGGCCTGTATGTACAGTAAGCGGTCATCTTTTAGAATATTTCTTAGTCAAAATAAATATAGGATGTCATTATAGTTAAAAACAGTGTTTTGTTGCAGCATCTTGGCCAGAATGAAAAGCCCTCCTCAAGTTTTGGACAGGATGGGAAGTCCTGCCGAGAGAAATGACTGTGGAAGTGGTTAACAGCAGTCTTCCAAAGTCTTCCACCTGTTTTGAAGTGCTGCGTCTTCCTGCAAACTACTGTAACTATGAGTCATTTCTGAGGGGCATTCAGGTGTGCCTCAACTCTACTGAATCAGGGTTTGGTCTGGTTTAGGATTGATTTTTTGTTTTGTACTGATTCCATAACCACATGGAAAGGTTACACAATTTGTTCTTTTTTGCAGCACATTACTGTTGTGCATTACTGTTGTTGTGTGCATTACTGTATTCAATGTGAAAAGACACCGACAATCCAGTGAGTTCTAGTTCCTTTAAATACATCTGACTGAAAAATACACAGTAGTTGATCAGGCTTTTTTAATATAAATTGACAAAAAAAAGTTCAGAAAAGGAAAAAGAACTGTCAGATGTTACTGTACTGTGTGCATGCTATTAAATCTGTTCAGAGTTGACATGTACTGTACATCCAACCAAGAAATTACTATCAATAAATTGACAGCTGTTTAAAACAAATGCTTTTTTATAGTTATTCTCTGTTTTCCTTTGTTGACAATGAACTTGGTGATGCTGTTTTGAGTCAGTATTAGCTACTAAGGCTCCTGTCTGCACTCGAGCCATAGATGTAAAAACAAGAATAAAAGGGTGTAAATATATTGCATCTGCTTACTTTGAAGAGTTAAGGTGTGGTCTCAAACATAAGTTTGAGTGAGTGAACAGTTTGACAGTACACATCCAAAGCTTGACTGAATGAAACGTTGGTAGTACAGCAAGCTCTCGTTCATTCAGTGTACGTGGGAGCTGAATCTCAGGAATGGTGATCTCATTTGATGGGCGGTGATTATATGGTCCTGTCCAGTCCACACCGTAATCCTCATCAACCTGAAAGAGCATCCAAATGTCTTACTTTCATTAATCACTTTCACTTCACTTAAACATAAGCTGAAGAAGTGTTTCCTG